TGACCTCAACCCGATAGAACACCTTTGGGATGAATTAGAGCGGAGACTGAGAGCCAGGCCTTCTCGTCCAACATCAGTGTGCGACCTCACAAATGCGCTTCTGGAAGAATGGTCAAAAATTCCCATAAACACACTCCTAAACCTTGTGGACAGCCTTCCCAGAAGAGTTGAAGCTGTTCTAGCTGCAAAGGGTGGACCGACGTCATATTGAACCCTATGGATTAGGAACGGGATGTCACTTAAGCTCATATGTGAGTCAAGGCAGGTGAGCAAATACTTTTGGCAATATAGTGTATCTCCAATCCTCCTGATGAGATTTTATGATCTTAGCCATGCAGTTTGTCACAAATACTTTAAATCTTAAAGCTTTATTCTTGATGTACTTTAACACGGATGCACTCTCCGTCCAGAATACTGAATCCATTAAGGTACAAGTGTAGCTCATTCCTCCTCAAAGCATCAATGACTGACCATTGGTACTGTCTCAAGTTCCGTTCTGAAAATGGTGATTTCCGTGATTTTTTTCATTGGTGCCACTCAATAGGAGTGCTGGTTTCCATTCATTTTTTACCCTTTATACACTAACCCTGACGCTTAACCTAAACCTAATCATTACTGGTACATACCTCACTTTATCCTAAACCTAAATCAAACCTTAGTCCTAAACCTAAGCCAACAAAGTGAGGATTAGAGAAATGTCCTCACTTTACCAGTAAAATGCAGCAAAATGTCCTCACTTTCTATAAAGTACACAGACAAAGACTCTACCCACCATCAGCATAGAACATTATTAATTGTTCTATGTTGCCGAAAGTCCACTGCATCTTATATGAAGTTGAATTTTTATTGACTGCCTAAAAGGCCTTCAGTAAACCCCCTTCTTATATAATAAATTAGTATCATCAGAACAAACCTGATCAATAGAATTTTATATCATTTTCCGTACATGGTAAAGTTCTTCTAATGTGTGAATTCAGTTCATGTTAGGTTTAGGGTTCGGTATGTGTCTATAATAGCTAGGCTTAGGTATGTGTTAGTAATAGTTAGGGTTAGGTATGTGTTAGTAATAGTTAGGGTTAGGTATGTGTTGGTAATAGTTAGGGTAAGGGTCTGGGTTAGGCCATATAAAATGATGCAAATCAATGAAATGTCCCCAATTATAAAAACAAGAATGTGAGTATGTGTGTGTGTATGTATAAACATCTACATCAACCAAAGTAGTTGAGTAATAACTACCAGTTATTGCAAATGATCTCGTGATCTCACCTTCTAACCTTGTGTTTTGGTTATGAATCAGCAGCATTTCTGAGATGGAAGTTAAAATTCTTTTAAGACTCTTTAAGTTTTTGAATATTCCATAAGGTCTAAGCTTCAGCCACAGTTAACATTGTTTTTAACACAAACATGAAATATATTTATTACCTTTTTCCCCCCCTCAAAAAACATACAAAACAAACAAAAAAAAAAAAATCATATTAATGTCCACGACCCAGCTATATGCTGCAGCGTTGAAAACTAATCTGCTGCCCCTGTATGGAGAGATATTTGTGCCATCGGTTTGAGCGCGCAGGAACCAATCCGAACCATACTGGAACCTGAAATATCCTCCTTATTTTTCTTTTAAAACATCAAATTTAAATCCATGTCAATAGCAGGTAAAAGAGATGGATGAGGCAATGATCTAATAACTGTTTTACTGAAGTTTATTTGAGATAATTCAAGATATTTTATAGTACTATCTTAGGAATGTTGACAAAATAACTGTAAGAGTTGTTTGATTTTCCTGATTGTGTTTTTATTTATTTATGTATTTTTTTTCATCTAACCGGATGTAGTATTTGGAACGAATGCTTACATATTAATGAACTGTAAAACATATGAACCTGAAAGGGAAAAATTGAGAAGAGTAGTTGAAATGACAGGCCAAGAATGGAGTCTTAAAGGATTATTGGGAAATAAAGGAAATATAAAGGATGTTTATAGATTAAGGAAAGCATTATTTAGTTATCTTCAGAATGCAAAATTAAAAAATAGAATTTAATAGATGTAAAACAATGTTGCTACACACTCATGAACAGTAGGTGGCGGTATGCACCTTAAAGTTGCTTGCGATCCGCCATGATAGAAAAGAAGAAGAAGAAGGAAGGAATGCTTTCATTGGATGAAAAGAAGCTGAGTGTGATTGGCTGATGGTATGGTTCATTTACATACATTGCTGAAGTTGCGAGCGCAGAGAGTCGAGCGAGCGGAGAAACAGCCGAGCGCACAGCTGGTGTTGAGCGCGGAGAGAGAGCAGGTCGAGCGAGCGCGAGCAGAGACGGATTCGAGCACGCGCAGAGATGAAACTGAGCGCGAGAACAGTGTGTTGAGAGGGTTTTTCAGAGTTGAGCGCGCGCCAGACCGGTTTTGCGCGCGCGCGTGTTGTCTCACTGCGCGCTCGGATTGGTTCCTGCGCGCTCAAACCGATGGCACAAATATCTCTCCATACCCCTGCTGGCAGATTAAATATCTGCACAGGACCTATGGTCTCAGTTTTCATGTGGAGCAGTGGAGGCATGGGCGTAGGTTTGCATAGGGACCATAGGGACATGTCCCTACCAAAATTTTGAACCGACCTAATTGTCCCCGACCAATAATTGGATGTGAGCAACATGTTTATAATTTACAGCAGTAGTTATTGCAGCAGTGCCTTCTTTTCCTCTCCAAAATTTTGAACCGACCTAATTGTCCCGACCAATAATTGGATGTGAGCAACATGTTTATAATTTACAGCAGTAGTTATTGCAGCAGTGCCTTCTTTTCCTCTCTCAGCTCCTCTGTCTCTCCTGTCCCTTTCATGTAGCAGCGCATGGAACTGTGCTGCCCTGTTTAACTCAACTCTCATTGGTTGTTCTGCCTTAAGTTCCGCCTTCTCTCTCTCTGATTGGCTGTTTTCTAGTCCGCGTGTGCTTGGAGCACAACATTGAAAATGTATTCACACTAGAATGCAGCGGTTACTACAATTAATATTAGGCTACAAAACTAGTACCAATAAAAAAAAAAAAAAAATGAATATCATGTACACTAAAAAACAAAAACCTTTTTTTTACTTTTATAAAACGAAATATTCTGAGTCAGCCAGGAGTTCTGAAGACTGCTGGAAAAATGGGCAAATAAAGGCTGTAAGCCATCAACATTTCTGATTCTTAGCCACAGCCAACTAAAAAAGAAAATGTGAGGATTTCTTTTTTACCGATATTAAGTTGATATTACTGTTTTCATTTTTTGTTTTTATTTTTACAATTTTGATATAATAACTGATCTAAGTGGGTTGCTCTGTGGGGAAAGGCACATTTTACATTTATATTACTGTATGTTTTAAAGTCTCTATACTCCAGTTAATGATGAATCACGTACTAAATTAGTTGACGATTATTGAAATAATCAATTAATATGATTCATTTTTTTCAGCCCCAGATGAAATACATGAAATGGGCGACACAGAGTAACTACAGCCCAGATGTTCAACTTTTATAGTGAAGTTAATATTTTAATGAATGTATTATTTTGCTTGATACAGAGAGAGAATAGTAGGTAAAAATATAAGAGTGGGGTTTAACTCTGCACAATTCTATATCTTCAGAAGAAAATACTGTATTTACCTTCTCTCTTAGTCGTTCAAATGAAACCGTTTTCAAAGTGGAAAACAGTCCTAATTCCACATTCATCAGAGCCGGTGATACTTCAAACATTGATAAACAGCATCTAATGAGTGTAGAGCTTATAACATTTTTATTAATGGAGCAAAATGTTGCTTTTCTCTTTTAACAATTAATTCCTCTTATCAGTACGGATGCTCACATCGAGCATAAAAAAGGACATGCATATTGCATAGCACCAATGACACCAGACCAATAGTGTCCCTACCAAAGTTCAAATCAAACCTACGCCCTTGAGTGGAGGAAAGTAACAAAGAACATTTACTTGATAACTGTATTTCAGCACTTTTTTTTTTGAGTATCATTACTTTACCTGAGTAATTTTTTGGGGGAATACTTACAACTTTCACTCCACTACATTTCAAACTCTAATATTGTACTTTCTACTTTACTTTATTTCCAGGAAGCTCCAAGTTCCTTGTTCCTTTTGGCTCATCTTAGCATAATAATCCACTGTTGCCATTTTTCTTTCTTAAAATGCAATTTCAACATGTAAGGAATAAATCTGGACACCCCTGTTTTAGGGATTTGCATGATATCCCACAGATGAGAAACTCAGGGCAGATATTATTTGTTGTTTATAAATGTTATAAAGGCAATTACTGGACATGTAAGGATGTCTCCTTCTATTCATATTTTGTTTGATAAAGGAACAGGATTGCTACAATGGACTTTCTAGGGTGTTTTAGTGTTGTCTTGGTGTGTGATTTATGCTATATGTTGTAAGTCTGGCTTTTTATTTACATTGTTGCTGCACTGTTTTTTAAAATTACTCTTATTATTATTAGTATCACCTTGTTTTATGGTTATTTGTGTAGGGAAGACAAAAAAAAGAAAAGGCTGGACATTTGCTAAGTGCACATAAGATGTTTTCTAATTCATGTTACAGTAACAAGATTATGGGTGCTCTTCTGTATCTGTCTGACAAAAAAAATAAATAAAAAATCAAGGTTGTAGTTGTTGCCATGTGGCAAAGTTGTTCAGTAAGATGAGTCCTCAAAGCAGAGTTGCAGTTTCTTTATAGATTCAACCGTAAACTTCTATTCCGAGAATCAGGACTCTCCTGTTTTATTTTTAATTTGTCTTTAAGTAAGAAATAATAAAATGTTTTGCTTATTTTTGTGGCATTTTTATCCTGAAGTTCCTTACAGGTGGTGTAGAAATTGTAGCAGTGGTTCTCTGCATCAATACATCAGGTGGTTTCTGAAAGTTTCAAGGTTCTTTAAAACCTTTTTGTATTCCAGTAATTTTTTGAGTAGTTTTCCTTTTGCTCTCTCACTCCCTCCTTTCAGAAAAGTGAAACTTTCAGGCTCCTTCATCACTACTTGGCACTCCGAGCTTTCCACGCCACGTTTTTATCAACCCAACTTTAAAGAGGTAAGAAATAAAAAAAAAAAACCCTTAACAACGAAATAAAATAAACAACGAGCTGCTGCTTTAACTTTAACCTGAACACCTCAGTTGATGGGATTTTCCTGCAAATGACTATATTTCAAAGTTCTTTAGTTTCAATCAACTTTTTGCTAGGTTAATTTTTTTATTTTTTTTTCTAATAATAAATCAAAGCACAGCTTATTTTTACTCGTTCCTAACTGTACATTTCATTTGCATATATTTTGTCTATTACAGTCATTTAAATTGGTAATGCATGGGTGAATTGCGATTCTCCTTTCTCTGATTAATTAGATTGTCTAGAAACATTTAGATCGACCTAGATGCATTCTGTCTAGATGTTGCTTTCAGACCTTATTAAAAGCACCTGTATCTGTGCATGAAACAAAACAGGTTATATATGTAGGGCTACGCTAAGGCATAAAAAAAAAGAAGAAACATATGATTACAGCCTTCTATAGAACTGTTAAAACCCACCTGGTTCTGTTGAAATCTATCTATCTATCTATCTATCTATCTATCTATCTGTCTGTCTGTCTGTCTGTCTGTCTGTCTGTCTGTCTGTCTGTCTGTCTGTCTGTCTGTCTGTCTGTCTGTCTGTCTGTCTGTCTGTCTGTCTATCTACAGGGCTGTCAACTCTCACCCATTGGGAGTGAGACTAACCCATCTCAGTGTCTTTACACACTCTCACTTCATATTCCCAATTTCTCACGTTAAAAAATGACAGACATTAAAACTCAACTCCGTTCCAATTATTTGTGTATAAAAATAGCATGGTGATCAAAATCTGTATCAGTGCCAGTAATCCAGTAATAGCTAATTAGTTTCCAATTGTTTAATTTACTTGAATAGAGAATAATTAATGAACGCAGTTGTAAAATTCTTAGTTTAAAATATATTTATGATGCAAGTATTGTTGTAGGGTCCATTCTGCTTTATTTTAATTCTCTAAAAATGAAAACCTACAACCTATAGCTGCATCTAACTTCATCTAACCATGACAGGAAACTATATATATGTATATATATATATATATATATATATATATATATATATATATATATATATATATATATATATATATATATATATATATATATATATATATATATTTAACTAATTGAAGTGAATCCATGCTATCCAGAACCAAACTGGATCCATGTAAAACTTCACCACCAGATTTCTGATACAGTCTCTGTTGCAACGCTTCTTGAAAAGTCAGGAAATGACTTCAATAAGATCTCTCTGATCACATAAAGTAGGCAAAACTTCTCAAGAAGCAATGCATGACACTTCTTTATAAAGGAGTTAAAGAACAAAGACTGCCGCAAGTTTATGTATGAGCACAGTGATTACAGCAAATCTGTATCCACAAATGGGAAAAATATAAACCAGCGGTAACAAGTGGCTGGTCTACCAAAATTAATCAGAAAGCTTATTAAAGACTCATCATAGGAGGTGATGCGCTGCAGACCTCACATGCATCATTTAAAGTTGGTTTTCAACATTCAGAGATAGGAAAAGGACTGGGAAAGCCGCCACTAAATCCCTTTATTGTCCCACGAAGGACAATTCCTTTATGGTCGATTGTAGATTGATATGGTAGTATCTTTCTAAAAAGATAACAAATCCTTTATCACATAAGTATGCCACAAAGTCCAACTCTGTGTGTTTTAATAGCTTTACTACCTTTGTTCTGTTTGGCAAGGAAAGCAACATGTTTAAGGGGTCAACTTCCTTTATAGGGCGCTGTTAACATAAGTCCATTATGGACATGTCTTTATGTTTTTTTTTTTTAAATATGCCTTGTTTCTTTTGAAATTACGTATCACAGTTTTGAAAGTCGTAGGGAAGCAGCTGTTCCAACACAGGGACGGAACTCAATGGTTAAACAAATTATTCTAATTTCTTATTTCAACCGTTGCGTATATTAGCTGTGACACATAATTCAAGCTGTGACCAAAAAAATTGATTGACAGATGACCGTTGATATATGATTGGCCGAATTAAGGTGTACAAGCTGATATATAACTAACTGGCCTGCATAAAATAAAGAAAAATCCTCCCACAGATTTTAAGACAGGATAAAAGAAAAAAAAAGATTTTTTTTAAATTTTCTAACTTTTGGGACAATATGGTCTGATAAAGAGTACATTTATATACCAGTACATGTTTATGCCAGAATGATTGGAAATTTAAATATGACTTGCCTATGACTTTAAAGATAAACATGGGCTGTTTCTAGTGTGTTTTCTTCAAGTTTAGCACACTTGTTATCTTTTTATTCCATTAAAAAAAAGTTTCAAGTTTGCCTTATTTTTTTGGGATCTAGGGAATATTGTTGTTCTGTTCGGAAAGTTAGCCACTTGATGCTGCTTTCTGTTTTTCAAAAAAAATCTCAGTATGTTTTAAAATAAGATGATTAAGAGACTAATAGCTGAAGTGAGTTCATAAGTGGTTGTCCGATTACGGAAATGCGACATACAAGTACAGGTCCTTCTCAAAATATTAGCATACTGTGATAAAGTTAAGTATTTTCCGTAATATAATAATATAACATTTATATATTTTAGATTCATTGCACACTAACTGAAATATTTCAGGTCTTTTATTGTCTCAATATGGATGATTTTGGCCTACAGCTCATGAAAACCCATAATTCCTATTTCACAAAATTAGCATATTTCAAATAATTATGTACAGTTATGCACTCAATACTTGGTGGGGAATCCTTTTGCAGAAATGACTGCTTCAATGCGGCGTGGCATGGAGGCAATCAGCCTGTGGCACTGCTGAGGTTTTATGGAGGCCCAGGATGCTTCGATAGTGGCCTTTAGCTCATCCACAGTGTTGGGTCTTGCGTCTCTCAACTTTCTCTTCCCAATATCCCACAGATTCTCTATAGGGTTCAGGTCAGGAGAGTTGGCAGGCTAGTTAGGCACAGTAATACCATGGTCAGTAAACCATTTACCAGTGGATTTGGCACTGTGTGCAGGTGCCAGGTTGTGCTGAAAAATGAAATCTTCATCTCCATAAAGCTTTTCAGCAGATGGAAGCATGAAGTGCTCCAAAATCTCCTGATAGCTAGCTGCATTGACACTGCCCTTGATAAAACACAGTAGACCAACACCAGCAGCTGACATGGCACCCCAAACCATCACTGACTGTGGGTACTTGACACTGGACTTCTGGCATTTTGACATTTCCTTCTCCCCAGTCTTCCTCCAGACTCTGGCATCCTGATTTCCAAATGACATGCAAAACTGAGCAGCAGTCCAGTGCTGCTTCTCTGCAGCCCAGGTCAGGTGTCTCTGTTGCTGTTTCTGGATCAAAAGTGGCTTGACCTGGGGAATGCGGCATCTGTAGCCCATTTCCTGCACACACCTGTGCACGGTGGCTCTGGATGTTTTTACTCCAGACTCAGTCTGCTGCTTCCACAGGTTTTAAAGGCCTCAGGAATCTTTTGCAGGTGTTTAGAGTTAATTTGTTGATTCAGATGATTAGGTGCATAGCTCGTTTAGAGACCTTTTTCATGATATGCTAATTTTGTGAGATAGGAATTTTGGGTTTTCATGAGCTGTATGCCAGAATCAAGAATCATCTGTATAAAGACAATAAAAGACCTGAAAATATTTCAGTTAGTGTGCAATGAATCTAAAATATATGAATGTTCAAGTTTTATCATTAGATTATGGAAAATAATGAACTTTTATCCCAATATGCTAATATTTTGAGATAGGGACGGGGGTCATTCACAGCAGAGTAGGTTAAATTTTGGGGTGTGATGCAAAAAGGTTAAGAACCCCTGGTCTAGAGTTTGTTTACTTTTCATATTAATCGTGTCTCCTGAATAAAAATGATGTTACTAGAGATGTACCTGAACCCAGCTCAACACAGCATGTAAATTAATTCTCACCACGTCTGATGCTCCCTTTTTCAAATAACAAACTGGGGGTGGCAGTGTGCAAGGGCTCAGAAATAAAAATACACAGTTCCTCTTTCAATGTGTCGACTCTTTCCTCCAGACATGGCTTACCAACCCCCCCGATCCCAGGTGGTGATGGTCACCTCCACCCATCACGGTGTCGGGACATGGAGCACTGGCATTTGTGACTGCTGCAGCGATATGGGGACCTATAAGTCCACTGAGCTAATTTCTTACATCCTGCAAAAAAATACCATTAATAAGTTCAAATGTCTTGATATTTAAAGAAGCCTCTAAAACCAAACGCCCTAAGAACATTTCTGAGAAAGAAGAATAAGTGTTTTTTTTTTTTCACAAATTCATTGTTTTGAACCAGGCTATAATCTTTGTGGTCAAACAAATAAAGGTATAGTTTTTTTCTGGGTGGATCATCAAGACTTAGACTTAGACAGATTTATTTGTCCTTTTGTTTACACAAGTCTAATACAAAAATAAATTTTGTTTAGAACAGCTCTCTAGACAAAAATGTAAAGTGTAGCTTTGAAAAATGGTAAAAATTTTTTTTTTAAAAAGAGTAATATAAACATATGACTGTAAATGTACAGTTCTAACATTTTCAGAGGGCAGCAGGGAGCACAGTCCATGGTGGGGGGGTGAGGCTTCATTTATGATGTTGCGGGCTCGGGACACACAGCGCTGAGATGAAATGTCTTTTATGGACCTGCAGACTTCTGCACCTGCAGAAATGATAAAGACTACCGAAGTCCTTTAAACTGAAACTATTTACCATTGATCGGACTACAGGCGTTCTGCAAGTCACACGAGGGAGCTTGCACTCAGATGTCAACATTCTGTTCAATGATAACCATTGGCCAGACATTAACATCACATTTGGCAGTTCTTTCAAGATAATAATCTTAACACGTGTTTTAAATTGCTTAATTAAAGACAGTAGAGCAGTACATGTGATATGTAACCTGTGAAAAAAACTGCTTCAATTGGTACCGCCTACTGCCTGTATTTCAATCTGGAAAGAATAAATCGGGACGAGTCAAAACAACCAATCACAGCCAGAGGAGCATCTGATGGAGTGTCAATCACAGCTCACACACGCTGAATCCCGCCCCCCCCCCCCCCCCCCCCCCCCCCCCCCCCCCTGGTCGCATGCGGTAGCCGCGCAGATGCTGTGAGAGGGGTGGAGCTTGGAGGTGGGGCATGAGTGAAGCAGAGAGGGTGGGGGAGTGGAGTGAAACCTGTTTTTCTTCAAATTTTCAGTCGAAGTCTGCTCTCTTCTCAATGTTACAGACTGCAGCTTTAATAGGATTTTACTTGTATGGAATGTATGTTTCATTTGATGTGCTACAGTCAGTGTGCGAATAAATTCTCTGCTCAGTGGATGGCTATTCCAGATGTTGTTATCAACACCTATCTAGATCATTTCTGACGCTTTATTTGTTCAACTTACAACCTGGAACCTGCCAAAGATTTGCTCCCATCATTACAAGTGTTTTTTTTGTTTTTTTTCAAATTTTCAAATGTATTGTCCCAGACTTATGAAATTCATACCACAATAATAGAGAATAGGTCTGATTATGTTGAGAAACTTGCATAATTGTAAACACATTATTTCTCAAATTAAGCAGGGGAGGGAGATCTCTGCAACTTAAAACCTTGAACCTGCGGAAGTTTCCCTCCCCTCCTTATTTTCACATTCCCTCAAATCATGTTGGCTTTGCCGCTTGGCCGTAAGGCTGTTTAGAACACCATCAATCCAGAATGTTGAAAGGGCAATATTATTGCCATTACTGTTAATACATAATAGAAGGGGGGTGATTTTTAAAAACTTTTTTTTAAGGGGGATTCCATCCCCCCTCATCCTCTCTCAACTCAAATACTGTGCACTGGGACCCTTTCTCCAACTGGATCCCCGCTCTTTTTCGTGCTCATGTTCCCACGTTGTCGAACAAACTTGCTCCCACTTCCTCCCCTCCTCTGCCATATCTAGACCCACAGCTAGTTTGTAATTGTCCCATTTGCGTTGTGGTGTGGAATAACATAGCACAGACCACGCTCAATATTAAGCATAAATCAAAAATATCTGCGACAGAGCATAACTAGCCCTTAAGACCAAAGTGTAAAATTGGGAGAACCTTCTGATCTCTGTTGTGATCTGGACAGTATGACGGAAGTCAGTAGAAATTAGATGGTAAAAAACATATTGGATGCAAACTACTACAGGACCCACAGGATATATATATATATATATATATATATATATATATATATATATATATATATATATATATATATATATATATATATATATATATATATATATATATATATATATATATAATCTGCTATATGTATACATATACATATAGCAGATTGTGCATGTGGTGCTGACTTCTTTAAATCTACTAAAAATGCTAAGCTAACATTTAACTAGCTTGAACCAAAATTCTCACTACAGGATATTGTTTCCACACTAAATATTTAACTATCATGTTCTGCTGCTCTTAAGCAGTTATCTGTGACTTTAAACAGTCACTTCATTGTTAAACTTCTGTTACATTGTCAGATTGTGATCACTCTGATTTCTTCCTGTGTTGCACAGATAAAAAGGCAGCATGACATTTAAAAATAATAATTATAGGCATGGCACAATAAACAGTAAAGCGTGATTGTTTTCTTCATGTCTCCTTTTTTCTGAATGACAAAATGTTTCATTGCGTTGCATCTATCTGTTAATAATACACCCAAACTAACAAAAAAATAAATTGAGCCTTTGTTTGTGTGAACAGGACCTTTGAAGGAAACTACAGGAAAGAAGATGAACTAAAACACTTGGGTGAAATAAAACCATCATTTATCTCTCAGCAGAAATATTCAGCTGTACCAGAAGATAAGTTAGAGACAAGTCAAAACAGGCAGCAACACAAATTTATAAGAAAAGCTAAAAGAAAAACTACAATGTAGGAAATTTTGCAGCATAATAAGGGCTTAGTGTTAGTGTTCAAGCCTTTCAAAGTCACCTTTAGACCAATATATGATGAGATATTGGTCAACAGGGTTAATTTGTCATTAAATATATATTTTCTTTTTTTATAACTCAGCAAAAATACTTGCTTTTAAAGCAAAGCCTCATCTCTGATCTGGGTGATGCCCACTTCATGACATTGCCGTATAAAAACATCCATGAAGCCTAAACAATGTCTGAGAGCTCATACAGCCAAAAAAAGAACTTCCATAAGAAAATAACTGTTGCGCTTAGTTCTAATTAGCTACTAAAAAAGCCTGTTTGTCTCAAACTTCAGCTGGAATCATTGTGCTGTGCCTCAGATAATTTTTCCCTGATCAGAGAGAGTGGCCGTTTGTTTGGCGCAGCGTGGTTAAAGCTGGTGTTTCCTGGAGGGAGCCATCTTATGTAGATATCCTCCAACCACACATTTTCACAGGAAAGGGTGAGGCTGCTGCTCTAACAGCAGAACTCATGAGGATTATTTGGAGATGCACTGATCAAGTGTCACAGGATGAGGTCAGATAAAGCTACTATGATGAGAGCAGAGAAAATATAATGGTGGAGGTTGAACTACCAATGAGTGCAACATTGGAGAGTAGAAGTAGAATGAAGCAGAGTAATGAAAAGGTTTGCTAGGTCTTCTAGCAGTCTAAACCTATAGCAGCATATTTTTAAATATATAACCTGAGCCACTCTAACTATAACTTTATCAAAAAGGAAACTTAACCTTAAAGGGGAACATCGTTTTTTTTTTTACATTGGGCCTTTGATTTTACGTTATTACATCATGTTCTACTCACCCATATTAGTTTTGTGTCTTTTGGAGCTGTTCTGAAGATATTCCGTTAGGTTATATCCAAGTAATCTTATGTACGCCAGCATTCATAACATGTAGGTGAAGCACTGTCCCTCAGACATCCGAGGTTATATTTTTAGAGTAGAGAAGTAGAGCGTAGCCACAGGCTACGCTCTACTTCTTCTATTCATTCAGCTAGCTAATCTGAATCGTTCAATTCCATTTCGAGAGCGAGATCATCTGTGGTAGTAGCACCAGACATCTTCCAGGCATGTGAGTAAAACTAGCAGCAGTTCAGTGGACAGGAAGAATGAACAGTAGCCGGCGCACGTGGATGACATCATACACACTCTGCTTTGTTTTAAAAAATATATAAATATAAAAAATATCTTCAGCTTTTCTTCACCCATTTATGTTTCTATAAAAATAGCCATAAAATAATTATGGCTTAAGAAATGTAAATTATGAAAGATTTGATTTTTTGTTTGATAAATGATAGGATAAAGGATATTCAAAAAAACAAAAGTTTAAGTGCTCCATCAGCTTCTAAGATCTATGCCTCACGGTTTCATGGTTGCTAGGCAACTAAACTTATGCTGAGGTAAAAGCGGGTACAGCTGCTGATTTGACAGCTGATCTCTTCTAGAACTTTGTTTTTTAGTTTTCTGAAGTAAATCGGGTCCTTTGAAGGATGCAGCCCCTTAATTGGAACACATCCTAAAAGATCTGGCTAGCATTCCACTTTATGTACTCTCAGGAGCTGCTAGTAGACCTGCAGATTAAAAGCGAGGGGCTCTATTAAGAACATAAGGACAGTCAGATCTCTTAAATATGATGGAGCCTTGCTTTATACACGAGAAGGAGGAATTTGAATTCTATTATGGATTTAACAGGAAGCCAATTAGAGGAAGCTGAAATAAGACAGCTGGGAAAGTTTGAATGTTCATAACAACTCTGAAGTGACCAGGACCAGAATATTCACATTTTTGACAAAGAAGACAGGTGGTTTGAAAAGAGGTGTGAGGGAAGCCATTTATGTTAAGAAAGAAAAACCAAACCTTAACCGAAGGTGGTGCACTCAGGTTTCAAAAACCTACAATGCAGCGATAGATTTGATTCCTTCCCGCTATAATTACAACCCCTGGCCCCATACAGAGAACCAAAACATCATGCCTGATTAACAAGGCCAACAATTCCCCCTAACAACCTCCCCTTCAGAGGCATAGACCAGTATTGGGAATTGCAAGTTAACAAAGAACCCAAATGACTCCCAATTCTGAAGGGGCGGACCCATTCTTCCAGTTCAATTTGCATGTTTCCTAAACCAAAAAAAGGCTTTGTTTTGGGCCGCTCTGTAAAGCTTCCAATTCAACGCTAATTCTGACATTTTGAAATGAAAAAGCTTCCTGGATGGAGGTGAAATGTCTTCAAACTTGGAAACAAAGTCCAGTGAATTGTTTTTAATTAATTGTTTTGAAGTGCTCTTTTAGGAACATAAGGAACAATCATATCTCTGATATAAGATGGAGCTTGGCCATTTAAGGCTTTATATGTGAGAAGGAGGATTTTAAATTCTATTCTGGATTTAACAGGAAGCCAATGTAGAGAAGCTAGGATAGAATAGATATGATCTCTCTTTTTAACCTTCTGCAGAACTCTATCAGGTGAAGGCTTAAGGTTTGTGGACTTCCTAAATAATTGAAATGGTCCAATCTTGAAGTAACAAATGCATGGCTACTTTCTCAGCATCACCCCTGAACAGGTTATTTCTAACTTTTGCAATATTCTGGGTGTGTCAGAAGGAAATTCTAGTTTTCATGCCCTATGCCAGCAGAAACAGGGAAGATGGATGCACCTAAATACTGAAAGCAATTTTGCAGGACACTGCATTAACATAACTTGCTGGCGCTTACATGAACACCTGTGTTCCTGAAGGGGGCAGTGTGGATTTATTGAAAAAGTTTTTACAAGACACCACTGCAGGCGAAGACTGTAAACCCTGCTGTAGTTATACACATAAAGCAGGCATTAAACAACAAATTAACATTATAATTTATGAATGGATCAAGCTGCACGTGCCAGATCTCATTAACTGTAAATATGTTTTTTTTTTGTTTGTTTCAAAATGCCTGATGTGTTAAAGCCTTCTACCCTTAAGAAAAAAATTCAGGAACTTAAAAGTGAAAGGTTTGGGTGAAGGACACAAAGAGCTGTGAAGGCGTGAAACTTGAGGAGGTGCTACAGAAACATGTTGCCTCCAGTGCCAGCTTGCTAAACACTGGCAGTAAGTTTTTCTGATTGACTCACATCTGTTCCCTGGTTTATTCCATCCATCCATCCATCCATCCATCCATCCATCCATCCATCCATCCATCCATCCATCCATCCATCCATCCATCCATCCATCCATCCATCCATCCATTTCTTACACGCTTGTCCCGAGTGGGGTCGCGAGGGGTGCTGGTGCCTATCGCATCCATACATGTCCAGTGGATTGTTATTTTCACTTTTTTTTTTTTTTAGAAAAACTGAAGTGATTTCAGTCTACTTTAATCCCAAATATGGGCTGAATCTGATTTGAAATTCTTTTAACACCAAAACTATCCTTGATAATTTACATTTCTTTTGTGGGCTTTATTACTTGATAAACTTAAGTGGATTCTGTGATAATTTCACTAATAAAATATTCTCCATCTCCCCAACAGGCTGCTGTGGCCTGTGGTGTTTCCCCTGCATGCAGTGTCAGACTGCCAGTAAACATGGATGGTGCTGTGCCATGCCGCTGCGAGACATCTGCTGTGTGTTGTCCTGTGCGCTGCGCTCCAGCATTAGGCGACGCCACAATATTCCTGTAAGTCTGGAAGTTGTTGGAGCAACGCTCATTCATAGTGTCTTGATGTTGCTGTTAGGTGGTGTGGCAGTCCTAATCATGGCATATTGTTACTTCCTAGAATTTAAAATCATGATAACTTGAAAATAGCAAGTCTTCTTTCATTCACTGCCTCAGTGGTGCCACAGTTGAATGTTTTCCTGGATTGACATAATGGTTTATTCAGAATTGGTTGACAAACTTGTTAGCAGTTAATTATTCACCTGTGTGTCGGGGTTGTATGCAGAATACGTTGACTTTATTCTGCCTTGAAAAATTCAGGTTCTGAGGAAACTACTGACTAAAACAACCTCGGTTGTTTTGATGGTTGTTTTGACGACCGCCAGAACAACTATGATGGTAAAAGGTTTTCGTACAGTCTATAAAGGTGTTTGTATCTTCTCTATCAATGGATAAGCAAAGAAAGGAGAAAAAAAGGCAGTTTTCCTTCTGCCATTTTCTGTGTATTTAATTCCTAAGATGAAATTGCTATAATTTGAGAGATTGTCAATTGTTTTTCTTAAGAAAACATTCAGATGCATTCAACAACCCTATCAAAAAAACATGGCCCTAAACACCTAAATGATAAATTTACAATTGTTTCCTAAGAGAATGTAACTGTAAAAAAAAAATGAAAATTTGTGGTTCTCTGGCTTGTAGATTTTATTTAAAATAAAACTGCACTTTACTTACTTTTTCCAGAATGTAGCATACAAAACTTCCCTCCATCATTATTCACATATTTTACACTCCTTATCCATACCTTGCATGTATTTTGCTGTGGCAGCATTTGTGGTAGCTCCAATATTTTCAGATCTTTTTAGATCTCTAGAAAATCTGCAGTTTAGTCAATTTCTGTTCAATAAGAAATCGACAAATATGAGTAAATTTTTACCTGGAACTGTGAGTCATGGTCCTCTGAGGAGCTGCACTGAATTGCTTTTTTTGACTAGTAAAGAAAAACAACATTTTAACTCTATGTTTTTTCAAACTTATTGCAATATAATACTAACCTGCCATTATAAGCACTCTGTTGCAGTTTGGTTTTACTTTTTTGTTTTTTAAAAAAGGTCCATATGTTTAACAGCTCTCCTAAGTCTTAGTTTAAAATAAAACACAAAGCAGCTGCCGGTTTAAATTTACTTCTACTGTGTGTAATCTCTCCTCCCATAACTACAATACGCAGTGAACAGCCACCAATCATATCTCAAAGTGACACTCCCAGAGCTGTAGAGTCTTACCTATGGCTCTGGACAGATCCCATTATGTAACACCAGTATAGATATCAGATCTGCTGGAGTGGTCAGATCTGCTCTGGAGTCTGCCCCTTCTTATGACATCACCACTCAGACAAACTGTATTGTACCCGTTTCATAAGAATCCGATCTCTTTTGGAGTCTCAACATATTATTACCAGTATAGGCTATTATTTAGAATTTAATTGGCGATCTAAATTAGCCAAAGGTAGAAAACAATCATTCTTATTCTTGAAGAAAATCTCTGCCATTTAAAAGGTGACACAAAAAGTCTCAGTGCTCCTTCTTTTTCTTTTTATTAAGATCTTAGGGCAATGAAGGACTTAAAAATGACTTTCGTGGAGATTCTTTTTGACAAAGAAAACAGTTATTCTACTTGTAGAAAATAAATGGTTGTTGTTGACACAAAGGTATAAATAGTGTAGCTTAATATTGTTAGGTTCCAGTTTTTGGGGTTAGTTTGTTTTCCTTTTCAGTTCCACCATTCATCCACCAGATGGTACGGTCTGGTTACGCGGTCTTGGAGGGTTTGCCTACACGTTTCAATTATCCACACCTGCAACCTCTAGGATTTTTCGAGTACTTCCAGCCATGAAGGAAAACCTTTCGAGACGCCAAGAGTTCCACAACTCCTCTCTTCTGAGCTCAGACCTCATCCAAGTCTCCTGTTGACAGTCCGCTCCGCTGCTCCTCTGTGCTTCCATAAACTTACCTGTCCACCCTCCAACGTCACGTCCACCTTCAACCTGCCAAAGCCCCCACAATTGGAACATAACACCCTGCAATTCTAGCAGCAAGTAAGTAAGTAAGAACAGAGTATTCAGTAATCTACTCTCTTCCCACCAACCGTGATCTCACCATTTCTCTCTCTCTTCTGTGCAGTCGCACCTGGATACCTGGCCACAGGTCCCACCAAGCTGTGTTAACCAGATTCCTGTTTTTTTGTTGTTTAACAGAAAATAAACACTCAAACTTTTACAATCTCTCTGAGTGTTTCTGCATGTGGACAAAAAATATTAGACCCATCATGACAAATATGGCTAACTGACCTAGGTAAAATAGGCCAACCTGTAGTAGCTTTTTCACAAGTGGTAAAGGTGTTAGAAACTAAAAAAAAACATTTGAAAACTGCTTCTTTTATTTTCTGAAATGTGACAACAGAAATACATGGAAATCATCTTTTTCCTTCACAAAAAACAAGATAGATCCACAAATTCCTAAACAAGCAGTTATCTCCAAATAAAGTATAACCCCATTTCCCGCCATAGAAAGCATTATCAGTCAATTCTAACTTTATTTCAGGTGCTATTTCAGTCCTAATTCTGAATGTTCTGATGTTTTTTTTTTAATCCTCCTACATTTAAATGTATTAAGTAGGTTTAGATTTCACTCTCTTTAAAACATACTTGTTTTAAATGTGCCAAAAGGATTATTTAAATTTGAGTCAAATCCTCGAGAATTAAGTATTAGAAAAATCTGCCATTTCAGTTAAATTCATAGCTTTAATGTATTTTAGTTGCATATTCCAAACTATATCCAATAGATTTAGTAATCTGTAGTGTAATATTTATTGTATCACTTTAAGGGATGAAAATCGCTGATTTCATTGTTCAAAAGGTTTAATTGATATACATGTGTGTCCATAAGAATATGGAGGAAAGGAAAAATCTAATTCTCTCAGATTTTCATTTAGAAAAATCTAATTCAGATCAAGATGACCCATAACTATAGATTTTATTCTATTTGATTATATTATGAAACCTGTTTGAACTTATCTGTACAAAAAAAAAACACCAGTCACAGCCTCAAGCTAACACACTACAAACTCCAACTATTGTCAACCACAAAGAGCCCTCAAAGGACCCCAGGAAGAAAATTATAGACCTGCAACAGGCTGGGAGGTGAATCTACAGTAGCCAAGGAGGTTGTTGGAAATAAATCAACTGTGGGAACAATTGGAATGAAATGAAAGTAGTAGGGACTCATATCCTGCAGTACCAGGCAAATCCCTCTGCTTAAGGCACTGCATGTTCAGGCCTGTCTCAAGTTCACTAGAAACCATATGGATGATCCAGAAGAGTTACGCATCAGTAGCTAAATACTTTTACTTTTTGTTAGTTTTTACTACTTAATACCTTTTCCTCCCTCTGTACATACAGTTGCCTGGTTATTTAAAAAGTGGCAGAAAAAAAAAATCCCAATGAGATGAAAACGAAATGGGGCAAAAAAACTATGGAAAAAGGTTTTGACAAAAAATAATAAAAATGATCAAGAAAAAAAAAAAGAGGCAAGTATTTGGATATAAAACAATCACAAATGCAGCCTATGTGTTAAACAAGTAATAAAACTATAGAAATTGATTCAAGTATTTACATGATCTAGGTGCATCTAAATAAATCAGAATATAGTTGAAAAGCATTTGATGTAGATCTCTGCTAATTGTATTATTCCATTCTTTTTGTTTTCATCTGCAGGGCTCATGCTGCGGTGACTGCTGTAATGTAATGTGTTGCTACACCTGTGCTTGGTGCCAGATGAATCGAGAAGTGAAGATCAGGTGCCGCCATCCGACTCGCACCGCCGTGGTCACCACTCAGGCCAGAGGAATGTAGCTTGTTGACCCGGTGGTGGTTAGTTCATTTCATGTGACTTGGTCTGCAGATAGTTAGCTGCACAATTTCCTATTGTGTCACATCAGCGCCGTTCAAAGTTGATCATTTGTATTAGAGCAAAGGGAAACATTTATTTCAAATTAGTGCCTTAAAACCTCCCAGCAGAATGAGACTTATTCTATTGTGTCCAGCACTTTTATTAACCTTCTGATTAAGATGTTCTTGTTTTTGGAAAACTCCTAATAAAATACTTTCTGCAAGTCAAGAGAAAGCCTGCATCTTACATCATCTTTTCTCTCCCATCAGATTATTCCCGTATATCACAAGGTTTGAGCATATGAACCGTTGAGCAATAATCTAAGAAGCATCTTGCTAGCTTTTCTGCTTTCAGTACTGTGTAATTCTGGTGTTTTTTCAGATTGAAATCCCTTTTTGACATCTTGAATAGACTCAAGTCTGTGTATCTGCTGTCTGCAACTGCTTTTAGTGTAATAAGAGTTAAGCAGATACATGGTTTACACTTTCTTAAAAAGAATGGAGATGTAGCAGTTTTCTGATCTATTTTTTTTTCATAATGTATTTTTCAAATACATTTTTTTGACAAATTGCATCAAGCAGGTATAAGCTGCTCAATATATCAAATTTTTGTTATAATGATATCCAAAATTATTTTGATATAGTTTGCTGTAGTTTCTGTGTCGGATGGATACACCACCTGGAAGAGGTTCGATGCATCTGTGAGCTCTCCAAGAGATATATAATAATCTTTCTGTCATTGCAACTTTATACATGTCATGTGTTCTCTGCATCTAACTCATCCATTACGAAGCAGCAAGCTGCTCCTGTTCAGCACCTAGGAGATAATCTAGAGCTAAGCGTTCTGCTCAGGGACCCAACAAGGTAGTCTGCTGGATTAAAGCTAGGAATGTAATATGCTCAGAAAGTAGGACCCAATATTCAAGGCGAGACAAATGGTGGGAAGATTCAAAGCATTTATTAAAATCAGGACGCGGTACTGTGGATCTACAGCGACTGCGAGGGGAGGCGGGGCACCAGCAACTCTGGTTGGAGAGAAACAGAGGTAAGTGTCCATGATAATCTGACGGAAGATGATTAATCATGTGAGCCACTTACACGGTTTAACAATTCAGTCCAACTCCTAAGAGCGAGGTAGGATCCAGCCGATGGACTTCCAACGAGATCCGGCGGGAGCCGCCCAGAGTGCTGCAGCCCCAGTGAACAAGAATGAATCCAAGCCAGGTCAGGGAAACAGTTCAGAACAGAAAGGCTCAGAGATCGAGGAATCCGTAGCCCTGTACAGGGTTCCGATCAGAACAGAAAAAAAGCTTGTTCAAGGTTCCAGGAGTCCATAAAGAGTTCAGGCAGAATGTTCAGATGGGCACACGCAGGCTCAGTGGTTGAGAGGCAGAACAGTTCAGGATAACAGGAAAACTACGGTACGCTAAAACTCGACATGATCAGGAACTCTACAAAATACTAAAAACGTCTCACCACTGGCTTTCAGGAACGAGAACATGAACTATGGCCTCAGAAATGAACCAAAAGTCAAAGTAACATGACTTAATTCTTTACAACCCTGTACCAAATATAAATATTGATTTTCTCAGGTGTTCAAATACTTATTTGCAGCCGCATCATACAAATAAATAGTTACAAAAATCACACATTGTGATTTCTGGATTTTTAAAAATTTTTTTTTTAGATTGTGTCGGACATGCCTGTACGGCTGACAATCTCAGACCCCCCCATGATTTCTAAGTGGGAGAACTTGCAAAATAACTGGGTGGTCAAATACTTATTGTCCTTCCTGTATAATATATGCTGGTTTACTGTTTACATTATCAAACAAAGCCATTGTATATTTCAATCTGAAAAACTCACACGAAGATAAAAGACAATTAGGAGAAATTTATTGATACAATTACTTTGTCTTTAGCGTTCAGACCTAGGGAGGAAACATAGCGCTGAATTTTGATATATATGCATGAACAGGAGCAAAGAACAGGGCTGTTTCTCCCCAGGCCTGAAACTGGTGGTGGAGTTGAAATAGATGAAGATGGTCAGTCTGTAGACTGCTGGTTAGCGAGCCGGTCTGCTGAGCTTTACGGGGAGATCCAGTGGACTGCGTGAGCTGATACCAGAGCTTCAATCAGGGACCTGGGAGATAGAAGTCCAGTTGGATAACACAGGTTGAGAGAGCCGGTCCATGATGAGCAAGCATGAAGCGACAGTGGAGAGGAAAACCTCCCCTTTGGGAAGAAACCTCTGGCAGAACCAGGCTCAACATGGCGGTGTTCTGCCGGACCGATTGAGATGAGACAGGGAACGCAGAAAGAGTCCGGGAGGAATAACACTCTGATGAAGCTTTAGCTACAATGTGGAGGAAGGGCTGGAGGTGGGTTGAAACAGAGTCATCTGAATGAAGTCACAGCGCATCCACCGCCTGCGCACAGGAGACCACAAGTGGATTGGAGGCCTTTTTAGATGAAATTTGGATGCCGATTGGCTTTCCTAGAGGTGTGATTCGAAGCTGATTGGCTGTGTCGTAGATGGATGTAGGAGAGCAATCAGTTTCTTCAGTTTAACTTCCACCTAGGCTCAATTTGTATCACATAACATCAACCTGCCCAATGACTATGGGTGGAAATGAGCAATCTTGCTATAACCTGGCACCTGCCTCTTTCCTGCATTTTCCCTGTGTGAAATATTTTCATTATATTGTTGAATACCTATTTTTTCACTTGTAGATTTTTTATTTTTTTTTTAAATCAAATAAATAAAAACAAAGAACTGTCCCTTTACATCAGCTGCCTGTGCTGCCAGGGCAGAACCATGCATGTCTTCATCAGTAACCGTTCACGCAAATTAAATCTATTAAAAGGCTTGCTTTGTCAAAACCCTAAGACCACATCCTATGTGTTTTTTTTTTCTGCAGGTGGCTTAACTGGCATAGTAGCTGTAGTGTGGGGAGGGGATTATGGGTGTGGGCACCTTCTCTCTCTCACTCCGTCTTTTCAGAAAAGTGAAACTTACAGGCTCATTCGTCATTACTTTGCGCTCAGAGCTTTCCACGCCACGTTTTTATCAACCCAACTTTAAAGAGGTAAGAAAAAAAATTAGAATAATAAAACGAGCTGCTGCTTTAACTTTCCTTTAGATTTTCCTGCAAAATACTTTATTTCACGGTTCTTTAGTTTCAATCAAGTTTTTGCGAGGTTACTTTTAGTTTTTTTAAATAATAAATCAAAACGCAGATTATTTTTGCTCGTTCCTAACTGTTCATTTCATTTGCATATATTTAGTCTATTACAGTCGTTTAAATCGGAAATGCACGGTTGAATTGCGATTTTTCTTCTTTCTCTGATTAATTAGATTGACTAGATACATTTAGATCGACCTAGATGTATTTTGTCTAGATGTTGCTCTCAGACCTTATTAAAAGCGCCTGTATCTGTGCATAAAACAAAACAGGTTATATATGTAGGGCTGCACTAAGGCATAAAAAGATGAAACATATGATAACCGCCCAACAGCCTCCTATGAAACTGTTATGACCCACGTGACTCTATATATATATATATATATATATATATATATATATATATATATATATATATATATATATATATATATATATATATATATATATATATATATATATATTTTTTTTTTTTTTTTAATATATGTATGCATATATATGTATATGTATATATGTGAGCATATATATATACATACACACACATATATGTCTGTGTGTGTATGTATATATATATATATATATATATATATATATATATATATATATATATATATATATATATATATATATATATATATATATATATATATATATATATATATAATATGTGTGTGTATGTATATATACACTTCTATATAAAGGAGTTAAAGACCAGAGCAAAGACTGCAGCAAGTTTATTTATAAAGCACAGAGACTCATCCAGGATGTCATGGCAATGGGTACAGGTAGTTTTTATCATCCATATAGTAATTTTTTCTTATATTTGTCAGTTCACCTTTAGCTTTGACACGCATCCAAACCAGAGTAGAGAACAGCCTGGTAATAGCTGTTTTTCACATTGCGCTATCAGAGCTCATCAAAGCAGCTCAGGTGTTGATGAAAACAAAGAACTAATTAAGTAAGTCTGACTATAATTTTTGTGCTGTATTTTTTCTTAGCTCTAGATTTATAAACACAGGTTCATAATAGGATTTATTTATTACGATTCCTGACTAACTTACAGGCAACATATTTATGATGTTTTTTTTTTTTTGAGATGGAAAGCCTAACATGCCTAAGAATTAAATGCTCTAATTAAAATATTTAGTAAAATAGATTGTATAGTTATTTTACTGTACGTTCCACTTTTGGACAATCATCAACACTTTTAACTGATAGGGTAAGAGTGAGGGAAGCACTGGTTTAGAATGGGGCCAGAATCACCATAACAGGGCAGATGTGTCTCTTTCTTTTTAGGAAAAATATTTTTTCATCAAATCTTTCAGACCTATTTCTTATTTGAAATATCAATGCAACGTTCATAAGCTGTATGTAACGCAATTTCGTTCTGTATGCACTCTGTGCATACAAAATGACAAATAAAGAAGTCTAAGTCTAAGTCTAGACCTTCCTCCCTTTTTAGCCTGAACTTTTTCACTATTTTGTCCCCCTAAGCATTTCTGTTGCAATAACCAGTCAGCAACCAAAACATTTATTGAGGGATGGAAGGACACTTACCAAAATAAAATTCTTAAAGACAAGGTTGGTTGTATAAAAAAATTAAAATTAGCCAATAAAGGAAATATTTGCTTTTAAAGACAAAAGCACAGAGAATATAGAAGTTAATGAAGTAAAAACAAACACAACCTTTCCTCTATGAGGAAAACTTTCTATGAAGAAAGGGCTCGCTCTAAATCAAAAACTATTGGGCTCTTTAACTTTTCAAAAACCTTTAACCAAACCAACACTAAGAAATATGAGGAGGGATTTTATTCACAAATTACATTGTGAAAAGAACAAGCAGTGTCTCTAAGGTGGTGAGAGAATGGTAGGTGTCTTGTTACACTTCAGACTGTAAATGGACTTCCTTTCCGCCTTTGTTGGAAACCGTTTGCAGAAGGTTTCACTTAGCACTGAAATGTCTCATGACTCCTCTTCACAGACGCCCTCTCCTGTCTGTAGGCTCCCTCTGCTTCATCCTGACTGCTATAAAGAA